ATAAATTGTCTCCAACTTCTTTTTTACTAAATTATAATCCTTAAGATTGTCCTAATGGCTAGTATTTGTTAAGTATTTATTACATGCTAGGAAACTATTCCATTCTGCCCTATATCTGCCTGTCTCATTCTTTCTCCTTAAAATAACTTTATAAGGTAGGTATTTTTGTCTCTCATTTGCCCATATGAAAACTGACGCTTAGTGAGTTTAATAAATTGTTCAAAATTATAGCTAAAAAGTAAATGGAAAACAACAGAGCCTGGACTCAAACCTATGTCTAAATTACTGCAAAGCCCATGTTTGTACCTAGCTGGGTAAAGACTTTAAAATTCTTTGGAATAAATTCTTCAGAAAAAATTCTGCAAAACAAACTCTATTTCACTATAAAATGAAACATTTCATCTGAGCCTTTTTTATTCCTACAGTCCCTTTTTTGCACAGTGCACATTTTTTTCATCTGTAAAATAATTTATTCTGGTTTCATTCTATAAGCTATCACCATAGTGATCAAATTAATTACTGTTTATCAAGTTTATAAATTGATTCATGTCAAATGTATAAACAAAATTGGTTGTTTCTTATAGATTGAGTAAAGTTGGGGAAAAGTTGTTTTATTTTTTTAAGTTAGATTATTTCTTTTGTAGCTGCTGATAAGTTCATGAAGTAAAGCAAAGAGCTGCATCAAATATCTGCAAGTCTGAATTCTAACTGGCTCTTTTTGACCTGAGTTCATCAGAGACTTTTCACAAGTTGGACTCAGCTACTTTAATCACAAAATGAACTATGTAGCCCAAATTATAATAACAACAGTCTTTCTAGGTCAACAACCTGAAGCACTACTCCACAGTCAAGTCATTTTAACCACATTCCATAAGACAAAACTATCAATGTGCAAAAGAGCCTACTAGAGGAATGTTAAGTATATGCCCTCTATTCTGTGAGGTGCTCTTAGTCTTCATTTTCTCTAATTATTATTCATGCCACATTTAAAAAAGGGTATACTATGTTTATTGAAGCCACCAATTAGACTGAAATGTTGAAAGAGAGGGAGGAAGAGAGAGTGAACAGATTCACATGTATTTGTCAACATTCTCCTAGAAACTTAAACCTTATATGACCCCTAAAGGAGACAGTTTTAAAATTTTGTCAGAACATTCTTCTCTTATCTAATAGCAATGGACCCCTTGCATTAGCAGAGTGCTTCAGAGTTTGCAAAGTACATTTAAGGTATATGATCCTCACACCAACCTGGGAACTCTTAGCACCTTTTCATAGAAAAGAAAGCTAAAGTTTAGAGAGGTTATGCATTAATTGCCTAAGGCTGTGCAGCTCATAAGTGACAAAGATTTCTGAAATCAGATTTCCCAGACTCAGATCTCTTGCCGCCTCCCAAGTTGCAATACTGCAAATGTTTAGTTCGAACATAATAAGTATTCTGACCTTGGCTCCAAGGTTCTCTGTATAGGGTTGTCACATTTGCAATTTGATTCAAATAAACAAGCACATAGTGAGTTTCTATCAAGGTTCAATAAATACAAAGATGACAAATACAATGCTTGCACTCAGAAGCCCTCTCATCTTTGGAAGGAGATACATAAACCATGAACGGCAATCCAAGTTACCTGTTACTGTATCCATCATGCCTTTCTGAAAATGTGTATGAATGTGCAAATGCAACAACTATTGAATTATACACTTTACATAGGTGAATTGTATGCTATGTGAATTAAATCTCAATGATGCTCTTTAAAAAAGTCAATAAAAAAAAATTCTTGTTAAGGAGGAGAGTCTTGTTTCCAAAAAGCTAATGTAATCACGAAATTATTAATTACCATCGATTTTTGATGATACAATCTCAGCATTTTGGGTACTGTTATTGAACAAATTAACCTATAATCAATAAGTATCTTTACTTGTAGTACAGATGCTTTACTCGTAGTACTCCTAATTTAATTGTTGTTTCAAACAATTATTAAATTTTTGTGCATTACATTTCTTATCATAAATACTACACTTACACCTCTCAAATTAATACTTATTTTTAAAAGTAAAGGTAACATAAAATAACCAATGCAAGCACAAACATTACTATGTAGGCAAAGCTATACGCCCTGCTCAAATAAAATGTGCATTGGCAAGCAGTGTCACGTCAGAATGGTTCCAAAAAATCAAGTTCCTCTGAAGCGTGGACAGGAGCCTCCCTGTCATTGCCCAGCCCTCTGAGCCAACGTGAACCTTTCAATTACAGGTGAGGACTACAAAACATAAAGGTGTTGACCTCTTGGACACTTCCCAACATCATAAAGCAAAATAAGATGAAAACAGAAGTCTCCACCACTGCCCTGCTCACTACTCCACTGAATTAGAATTACCTGGTAAAATCTTAATTCAACAAATAGTTATTGAGTAACTTCTATTTTCTAGGCATCATTCTAGGCAATATAGATATGTTGGTAAAAATCATAGACAAAATTTTTCCTTGTGGTGAGGAAGACAGGTAAGAAATATTCAATTGAACAAGCATAAATGCACAAACAAATAAAGACAATAATTGGTTACTATGCAGACGATTAAAATAAGGTTATTCCTGGGGGTAACTTTAGATCATGAAGAAGTGACACTTCACATGGCTGGTGAAGACTGGTGGAAAGAGAAGTCCAGGCAGGAGACCACCCAGTGAAAAGCTCAAAGGCCAGAATAAACTTAGTGTGCTGAGGAAAATAAAGGAAACCATGATAACCCTACATGTTTGACGTAAGTAACTGCATGAATGGTGATGCTAATAACTGCCATAGAGAACAGAGGGGAAGTGGATTTTGACAGGGGAGATTCAGAATTCTATATTGATCCTATAAAGTCTGAGATGCCTGATAGATATTCAAGGAGGGCAGGGGACTGTAGGTGATAGGACTAGTGGAGTAAATGCTATCTAAAGAAAGTTATTGGCCTAGTGGACTGGTAGTTTCTGTCTGACTTAAGAGACTTGCTGGATTCTAAAGAGAAAGTTGGAGCACAGTGATATAAAAGGATGTGTTTAGTGAGAGGTAGAGAAAACAGTACTGATTAATACAATGGAGAAGGAACACTTTATTGCATAATAAGGAGTTTGCACCTCTGAGCAGTTCTAGTGTAACCTTAAGGATTAGATAAACCTATTTGTGGGGTGGTAGATCCAGACTTTACCAGGAAAGCAGGTATTTTAATCCATTGTGTATCTTTTTTTTTTTCAAATAAGGAGAACTTTTGTATGTTCCTTCTGTGTCCCCTAGCAGTAAGCTTACATTTTAGCAACATGAAAAAACATTGCCACAATGAGCACAAACTCTGAATTAGCCTTACTCTATTAATCTATTTTCCATACTGCAGTCAAAATGCTTTTTCTAAGTTGCCATTCTGAAAAGATATGCCCCTGATGAAATCTCTTTAAGGTCTCTATTTTCTCTTAGCATAGAGTCACATTCCTCACCGTGGGCCACAAGGCCCTGCATACTGGTCCCTGCCAATTTCTCCAGCCTCATTCCTTGCTACTTCTTGCTCATGGGGCCTGCTGAGTTCTCTATTCTCAAATTCACCTTGCTCTCACTCTAATTGCTAACGCTATGTCCTCTACTACTACAAAACAGAGACACTCCATGCTTATCTCTTTTCCAAACTAACTTCTACTTATACTTCAGGTTTTTGTCAAGATAACACTTTCTCAGAGGAAGCTCCTCTAGAATGTCTGCCTTGTGCCCCTGTCCCAAGTCTGACTTAGGTGCTTCTCCTCCAGACAGTCCATCATCATCAGCTTCGACCACCCCCTATTGCAATTGTCTACGTACATGTAGCTATTCTTCATAATCTTGTTGAGGCCAGGGGCCATGGCTATCTTCTTCACTGTTTTATCCTCTGCACTGAGTGCAGTCACGGGCATTTAGCATCTAGTGGATTATATTTTTGTTTAATAAGTATAAAGACAATTTTCCACTAGATAGTAAGTTTCTGGAAGAAAGGAACCCTACGCTGGTTTATGGTTTTATCTCCAACTCTAAACATAATGTGAGAGCTCAAAGAATACTTATAAAACTTTTAAGTTGAAAGCTGTATTTCTCTAGCTTTACATTATACGACTTAGATTAATTAAAAGTGAAGTTTCTGGTGAAGAGACTTGCCATTGTTCTTATGCAAGCTACAGCCAGATTTTAACCTGCCTAGCTATAGATACCATTTCTAAGTCCATGCAGACAAACATCTGGACTAATACTACTCATTTACTCTCTTAATACGGTCTGCTTTAGTAAGTGAACTGCCGTAAAGTAGTCCTGCATCTGAGCATTATCCTACAACTGAAATACTCACTATGATCCTGCAGTTTAGACCACTTGATTAAAAATGGTCTAAATTTTAGAGCATTTTATGCACTCCTCATAGCTTTTACATGCTGTGAGAAATTTGTATTCCTACAATGTGGAAATAAGTTTTAGAACTAACTAAATCGTTCACAACAATCAATGTTCTTCTGTTTTCTGGTGATGATACATCTGATAAGGGGTTCATATCTGAAATATATAAGAAACTCATACAACTTAACACCAAAAAAGCAAAGCCTGATTAAAAAAATGGGCAGAGGACCTGAATAGAAATTTCTTAAAAGAGGACATACAGACATATAGCCAATAGACATATGGAAAGATGCTCAATATCACTAATCATCTGGGAAATTCAAATTAAAACCACCATGAGATATCACCTCACACCTGTCAGAATGGCTATCATCAATAAATCAACAAGTATTGGCGAGGATGTGGAGAAAAGTGAACCCTTGTACACTGTGGTGGTATTGTAAATTGGTGCAGCCACTATGGAAAACGGTATGGAGGTTTCTCAAAAAATTAATAATAGAACTACCTATGAAACAATCAATATTTTAATGCATCAATTCCTTACATTTAAAACCAAGAGCATAAAATCATGATTTAACGAAAACGTGTATTCTAATAAGAACAGATATTTGTAATTACCTTCTAGTGCATATTTCATATCCTGAGCAAAAAGAGTCCACATAATTTCAGCACTTATTTTTCCCATGTTCAGTTCTTGAGGAAACCTAAAACCAAACACATATATTAGTGTATCAAAAAGAATAGGCCTAAAAAAAACCAAAACACAAAAAACAAAAAACTCACTTTACATATATACCACAGTAATTATTATACAGTTCATAAGTACTTTTATTTATGTGATTTCCCTTTATGAACTTTCCCAGGTAAGAAAAAAAACTATACACCAGAGTGTGATGATAAAGCAATTATTGAGTTTCAGGAAAATAGACTCCATTTACATCAGTGCCAACGTAATGGTGCCTGCAGCTCCGATGGATGTCTTAGAATTTGCTTGCGTCTAAAGAGCTTGTTCAGTTTTATCATATGCTCCATCTTCATATGTCTCCATTTAGAAGATACATCAGATAAATTTGAGTAGCAAATACCATATAACACCAAAAATCACACCTCACATTCATTTGTTGGTAATTTTCTTTGAAGCAAACTTGAGTGCTTCCATTCTCAATTTGTTTACAATGAATTATTTCAAGAAAGATTCCTCACTCCTCTAGTTAAATGGCCCATGGTGCACCATTAATCTGGACTCAAGAACTCCTAGGCAGGTCCGTGTTTTAGACTAAATAAGCTTAGGCTAAAGACAAATTCCTATTGCTGCTAAATTCATACTGTTTTGCATGTTTTTAACCTCACGATAAGCTCTTGGTAATATAAGCCCAGTGAATGTAATAACCAGGTCTTTACATATCTTGTAAACACTCACCTTATGTCAGTACATGAGACTTAAATTATTTTGTTTTCTAACAAATATATACTATATATATAAAACGCATGTATATATGTGTATATACACACAAAAGTAATATATATTAGGAATAAAAATGTATACATTAAGGAACAAAAATAGCTCTCACATTCATTTACATTTTTGGGCCAAATTAAAAAAAAAAGTAATACAATCCTGAATGAGATAGAAAGTGTTAAAACTAAGTAAATATGACCTGAATATGACCTCAAAAAAAGAACACTGACACATAAAACCATTCTAGCCCAACTTTCCACTAAAAATAAGGTGTATTTCTTCTTCAAATATTCCTTATTGACTGCCATCTATCAATTTATCTAATGTCAATTGATATTTTAAAACTTAAATGCAGAAGATGCACGTTTATCAAGTATTTAAGCTCAGAACACTTTCTATAATCAAAAACATAATACAACCTGAATATATACAACTGAACTTGCCTCTATTGATATAAACCTAACCTTAGGCAAGTAATTTATTTCAAACAGTTTTATCTGTGGATACCTACTCACCTCATACAATTTGTAGTATATTAATTTTTGTTAGAGATATGCAGCAACAAAATTGTGGTATAGGGTGCTTTAGGCTCATAAAATAAGGAATTAATTTAATTTTTTGAATCAAGAATAAAGAACATTAATTCACTTTACATTGCCCTAATAAAAAAATAAAAAACTAAAGAATATCTCCCATAAAAATAGATGCAAAACTCCTTGCAACAAATGGCAAATTCAATTCTACAATATATAAAAAATAATAATATATCATGACCAAGGGAAGTTTATCCCCAAAATGCAATGTTGGTTTAATATTCAAAAATCAATGTAATTTACCATATCAAAAGACTAAAAAAAAAAACTTTACCTTCTTAATAGCAGAAAAGATATTTGACAAATCTCAAAATTTATTCTTGATGAAAACTCTGAAAACTAGGGATTGAAAGGAATTTCCTCAACCTTAAAAATAGAATCTACAAAAACCTACAGCTAATATCATACTTAATGGCTTCATGCTAAGATCAGGATCAAGGCAATGATATTTATTTTCACTTTCCTGTGAAATATTCTACTGGAGTTCCAAAAAACAAACAAACAAACAACCCCCCCCAAAAAAAAAATCCTGCAAAAAGTCAAGGAAAAGGAATAAGAAATATATAGATAGTGAAGGAAGACATAACACTATTTTCAGACAGTGCGATTATCTAGAAAATCTCCAAAAAACTACAAAAAAACTATTGAATAAATTCACAATACAAAGCCAAAATACAAAATTATTGTATTTTTACATACTAGCAATGAACCATTCAAAACTGAAATAACAGTATTTAAAATAGTGCCAAAAGTTGTGAAATATTTATGTATAAATCTAAGAAAATATGTACTAGACTTATATGAAAAAAACTACAAAGTACTGAAGAAAGGTGTAAAACAAAACCTAAATAAATGAAGAAATATATTGTATTCATGAATTGGTACACCGAATATTATTAGAATGTCAATTTTTTCCAAATTGATTTATAAATTCAATGCAATCTCAATCTGAATTCCGGCAAGATTTTTTTTTTTTTTTGTAGAAGTTGACAAACTGATTCTAAAATTTACATGGTAAAGTAAAATAACTAAAAAAGCAAAACTGTTTTAAAAAGTTGAAAGATTCATACCCTTTGTTTTCAAACCTTACTATAGATTCATAGTAAGACAGTGCATCTTCAAATACAAGGTCATTTAACTTTCAATAAGATATTCTAGCAATTCAATGGAGATAGGATAGTTCTTTCAACAAATTGTACTAGAGCAATTGGATATCCATATGCAAAACAATAAATAAACCTAGGACCACACTTTGCAACATATAAAAAATTTACTTGAAATGGGTCAGAAACCTAACTACAAAACCAAAAACTACAAAACTTCTAAAAGAAAACAGTAGAAAATTTTTATGAACTTGCATTAGGCAATGGTTTATTAGGTGTGATGCAAAAAAGTACAAGCAATAAAATAAAATATTGATAAATTGGACATTATGAAAATTAAAATCTGCTCTTCAAAAGATATTGTTGAGAAAATAGAAAATAAACAACAGACTAAGAGAAAACAATTTGCAAAACACCTATCTGATAAAGGACTTGTAACCAGAATATACAAACTACTCTCAAATCTCAATAAGAAAAAAATGGGCAAATGATTTGAATGACACTTCAGCAAAGAAGAGAATTAAAAAATAAGAACATGAAAATATGCTCAACATCATTAATCACTAGCTACTTACAGATTAAAATTACAGTGTGTTACCACTACATGTTACTAGAATAGTTTAATAACAAAAGAAAACCTGACAAAGCCAAGAGCTGACAAGAATTCAAGGGTTCAGAGGAGCTGGAACTCCGAAAAATTGCTACTGAGAATGTAAAATGTTACAGTTACACTGAAAAGCAGCTTGGCAATTCCTTATAAAGTTAAATATACATTTATCAGCAGTCTAACTCTAGGTATTTATCCAAGAGAAATGAAACATTTATACCAAAAGCTGTACATGTTGCTTAATTCCTAATCCCCAAAAGCTGCAGTCAATATCTTTGACTGATGAATGAATAAAGAAACTGTGGTAGATTCATAAAATGGAATGTACTAAGCAATGAAAAGGAATGAACCACCAATACATGTAACAGCATGGACGAGTATCAAATAAATTAAGCTAACTAAAAGAAGCTAGACTCAAAAGCCTACATAGCTTATGATTCCACTTATAATTCCTTATTGAAAAGGTAAAAATATATGGACATGAAACTTATCAGTGATTTTCAGGACCTTAGGATGAGAAGAGGGAGTGACTATAATGGAGCATGAAGAAACTCTGGGGGGTAATAAAATATTCTATATCTTCATTTTGGTGGTAGTTATATGACTGTGTGTTTTCTATTTCATCAATTTTTTCCTCTTCAATATTGAATACCTTCTACTCTGAGTTTAATATATTGTTCTTTTCTACCTTCTTAAGAAAGATATATAGATAATTAGTTTTTGGCATTTCTTCCTTTCTACCATGTGTATTTAAGGTATATATTTCTTTTATATGTATCCAATTAAAATATTTGACATTTTTATTTCTTCCAACTATTTAGGGTGATTTCCTAAGTATCTTTTAGTTGCTATTTTCTGCCTTAACTAAGTTAAGGTTAAAATACATATTCTGAAAAAATTAATCTTTTGAAATTTGTTGATATTTGCTTTATACCCCAGCATATAGTTAATTTTGGTAAATAATCTTTATTTTCCATCTGTCTCCTTGAACTTCATTCTGTGTGTTTTCATTCTGTTTAATGCTAATTGTCTCTTCAGTTGTATCTAATGTATGGTTGAATACATATATTGGATTATTAATTCCATTCATTGTAGTTTTCACTTCTAGAATTTCCATTTGATCCTTTCAGTAGCTTTTAGCTCACTGCTGAGTTTTTCTTTCTTTCATTTAATTTCTTAAATATATTAACCATAGTTTTTATAACATCTCTCTCTAAATTCTGCTCTATTAACCTCTTATAATGCCTGCTTATTTTTGATTGAATAAAGAACTTCTTGTGTGTAAAAGATGTGCATATAATTTGAGCGTCTGGATGATGTTAGTATTTCAGAAAGGATTTATTTTCTTCCAGCAGTAGTATTTTAAGGTTGGGAATGATACCCTTAATCCAATTAGGGGCTGAGCTCATTTAAACCATGTCAATATTTTATTCCTACTTACTCTTAGGATAGAACTCATCTCAGCCCTAAATTCAAGCTTGGGTTGTTCACCATACCACCCACTACTTTGTAGAACCTGAATTTCAATTATTCTATTCTTTTTCAGCTTTCTCAGTTTTTCAGCTGCTACTTTCTATTTAGCTTCTCACATGCTCGGACTTTACTTCAAGGCAAATCAGTCATTCTCTTTAGGGGAAGAGTCTTGGCACACATCTGACATGTTTTTCTAGTAAATACATGTATCGTACAGATATAAACAAATTCATGGGAATAAAAAATATCAAATCTGGTCTAATTGTTATATTTCAGCAAGGAGTAAAGAGAATTGGATTCAGAGAGACATATGTACACATAAGTCTTCAATTAAATTTGCAATGTTTTATTTATTTTGGAAAAAGTTCTAAAATCTATAAATTTACTAGAAGTAATATAAGAGATAATATAATGCAAATGGTGGCTAATGCATTTAGCATTAATAACATGCGTTAATAAGTAACTATTA